GATTGGCACAGGACAGAGCAGAGTTTAGGGATGTTGTACATAGGGTCGCTGTGAATCGCAAGCGACTGAACAGGCACATAACAACAAGAACAACAACAAGGTGCTTAGAAGAAAACTGTTAAGTGTTTACCTCAGCATTGCTGAACCAGAACCAATTCATAGCAGATTTTCAGAGGCTGCAAATTATAAGGGAGGAGATTGCCCACGAGTAGTGGATTCTAACCACTTGTACCTCTTTACCCACTAGACCAACAAAGCTAAGTTTCTAGATTTTGGTTTGTGTGATTTTTTTAAAGTAGTGAATATACACAAAGCAAAACATATCACTTCAGCAGTTTCTACATGTGCAATTCAGTGACGTTAATTACCTCCTCTAAGTTGTGGCGTCTTTCTTGGCAACCTTTTACAAACTATCTCACTATCAGTAATAAATGTACTGATATTATCAGTAATACATTTACTTTTCATCTATCCTTTTAAATTGCTGTTGCTGGTCTGATCATGTTAGGATGTTTCTTTAAAAGGTTTGTAGTGTGTCATGAAGATTTTCTTTTCTAATTAGGCTAAACATGACATAAGAGAAGAGTTTCATTGGAGGTTTAAAGATTTCCCTCTGGGTAACAATGCCACAGTGTTCTTCTGGCCTCTGGCTCCAGAGATTTTGTAGTTTTTGAAACTATAACATCATTTAAAGTGAGAACAGTAAAAGCAGTTATACACTGTTGTTGCACTCTTGTTGGACTGTGTCCTTTGTAGTTGTAAAATGAGAATGCATTGTGTGGATAGTTTCTTAAGCGGGTACGTATGTAATTGTCAATCATTTTGGGTCTTTTCCTTTGCTTCCGTCACTTTAATTGAGTTGTTTTGCCAGAGACAAAGCTTAAGGCTGAAGTCTTGCTTGCTTCCCCAGTATTCTTTAAAAGAAAGCTATTGACTGACTTTTAGTCATGTAACTAAGGTTTAGAGAAGTCTGATGGCATAGTTCATAGGGAGCTGAGATGCTTACCCAAAGGTGGTGCTGCTCTGATGGGTCAAGACCACCATCAGCGCTGTGGGAGAAAGATGGACCATCTCCCGCCACACATTTTCAAATCTCTAAAACCGCAGTGGAGGTTTTGAGGTGGTTCCAATTCATTTGTAGAACGTATTTGAATAACTTCAGCAAATTTGTAACAGATTTCATGCTGTTTTGATTATCTAATGTTGCTATAATAGCAGTGAATAGCATTAGCAAACAGAAATTTAATTTCCTGCAGTTTAGCAGGTGGACGACCACACTCAGAGTGCCAGCTCTAGGGCAGGGCCTTTTCTCCCCAGCCTGGTTGTGAGGGAAAGTCCATGTTTCCTTCATCATTTGTAGGTTTGGTGTTCCCTGGAGACCTCCATGTGTTTTGGCATTCCCTAGCATCAAGAAATTTCACTGTGCAGGGATTCAGGTCCAGAAAGACCACTCTGCTCCAGAGGGTGATTTCTTAGTGAAACTAAAGATCCCTTGCTCTCATCTCCCTTTCCCCTCTTTGTATCTCTAGTGAGATAAAGGGTATTATAGATCACACCGTATGGGGACTCCTTTTCCATTGGATTAGAGTGGTTGGTGGTTTGGGAGTTGCATTCTACTCTTTATCCTCCTACAATTCTTCAGTTACTGGATCTTGGGGGATCCTTAGATAGCTTCTAAATTATATTATTATATGCATCTAATTTGGGGTGTAGTTTTCAATATGGATTGAAGCTCAACTCAAGAAGACAAAGATTCTCACCATTGGAGCAGTTGGCAACACAAAGAGAGAAGAGAAAGAGATTGAGGCTGTTTATAATTTCACCTTGCTTGGCTCCACAGTCAACGCTCTTAGCATCAGCAGCCAAGAGGAATTGCACTGGGAGAATCTTCAGTTAGGGACCTCCGCAAAAGTCTTAATGATTTCAGTCTAGAGACTAAAGTGCATCTGATTCAGGTCATGGTTTTCGCAATTACTTACTATGCATCAGAGAGCTGGACAGTGACTAAGGATGACAAAAGAAAAATCAATGCCTTTGAATTGTGGTGCTGGAGAAGAATACTGAACATTCCATGGACTGCAAAGAAAACAAATAGGTCTGTCTTAGAGTGGGGGAAACAAAGTTTCTTCTTGGAGGCTAAGATTTTTTTTAAGATTTTATTATTATTAATTTTAAGGAAAATTTACAGAGACTTTGTATTTCCATTCATTCATTGTTGCACTTTTCTCCCTGCCCACCACTCCCCATCAGTACACTCTTCTCTTTGAAAAGTAAAAGAGAAATTCTTTCATTGTTTTACAATCCCTCTCCCCAGGTCCACTCCACTGTGCAGCCTTCGTTCTGGATTCCTGTCATGACAATAATACCTAATCACATATCCCTTTTAAATAGTTTTCTCCCTCATCTATTTCAGTGCAGTATACATTTATTTATCCCATCTTTCTCAGTTTCCCCCCAAACCTGATTTCAGTCCTGTTTTACAACAGTGGCACTATGCAGTATTTGCCTTTTTGCGACTAAGATATTTCATTCAGCATAATGTCCTCCAGGGTCACCCACACCCATTTTGAATAATAGTGCATGAGTTCCTTATTTTTCAATGAAGCGTAGTATTCCATTGTGTGAATATACCAGAGCTTCTCTAGCCATTCATTTGTTGATGGGCACTTAGGTTGTTTCTGACTCCTTCCTATTGTGAACAAAGCCGTGATAAACATGGGTGTGCATATATCTGCGTGGGTGGCAGTTTTGGTCTCTTTGGGGTATATATTCCTAGTAGTAGAATTGCTGGGTCAAATGATAGCTCTATTTGCAATTTTGAAGAAAATACCACACCTCTTTCCATAGTGGTTGCACCATTTTACACTTCCACCAACTGTGAATAAGGGTTCCGTTTTCTCCACAAACTCACCAGAGGCTAGTATTTTGAAGCTCTGTCTCACCTTCGGAATGTGGCCAAGAGGGCCTGGTCCTTGGAGGAGGACATAATGCTTGGAAGGGTGGAGGGATAATGCAGTAGGGAGAGACTCTGGATGAGATGGATTGGACAGTAACTGGAGTAATGGTAGGACTGTCGGAGTCAGTGAGACTGGCTCAGGACAGAGCAGGCTTCAGAGCTGTTGTACATAGGGTTGCTATGAATTGCAGGCACATAGCAACAAACAACAATTTGGGATAACACAATTTAGTCCACAGTACCTATCAACAGATAGTTTGTTCATACTCTTGTAGGATTTTCAGGATCGAGCCATCTAAATACCAAACAGTTAAAGGACAATGAGTATTCTAAAAGCAAGTTGTGATTTTAAAGAATGTTCTTTCTAGTGGTTTTTTTTTTCTATATAGTTATTAGTGAGCTCTGGTGGCCTAGTGATAAGAAGCTGCACTGCCAACCCAAAGGCACGTGGTTCAAATTCACTAGCTGCTTTGTAGGAGAAAGATGGGCAGTCTCCTCTGTAATGTACTGCCTTTGAAAATCTGCTGGAGGGTCAGCTATGAGTTGGTTCCAACTTGACAGTGCATAACAGCAGCAATTACTTTAAGATACTAGTTTATTAAGTATTTTGTTTAAAGTATGTGTTTAACATCATACATGGTTGCTAGGAGTTGGCCTTTACTCAGTGCTTCTCAGTCTTGGAAGAAGATTTGAATTTTGTAATTTCTGATAAATAAAGACTGTTTGAGCCAAGAAAGGAGGTTGCCTAATGTTTGCTGTCCTAGGAGGAGTTGAGGTGCTGAAGTACTGATACTTCCTGTAACAATGGACCCAAGTAGATTAGGGATGATGAAGATGGTGCAAGGTAGGGCAGGGTTCACATCTCTTGTTTATAGGGTAGCTGCAAGTTGTAGTAGACTTGACGGCATCTACTAACAACACAAGATGTTTCTAGAGCCAGAAGGTGTGATTCTAAGAAATGGTGGTGGTGATCAGTAGCTCTCACAGTGACCCTGTGAATGTCAGACCTGACCCATGTTATATATAGTTGTTAAAAACTTTGCTGTAAATCATCTGTAATGTTCCACTAACTTCACATGGGTCAAGTGTTGAAAACAGAGATGATACATTGTTTTATTACTTTTGTTATTTTGTGACCATTATTTTCTATGTTCAAGACTACAGACATTGACAGAAATAAAAAGAAAACACTGGAGAATGATGGACCGGCAAAGAAGAAGGCAAAGAAAAAACAAGAAAAAGAAAAAGAAGGAGGAAGCAGTTTGGTAGACTCTGGAAACCCTGGTGAGTTCAGGGCTGATGATTCTTTATTCTTACCAGTATGGCTTTAAAGGTTTTGCATTTTCTAGAGAACAGAGGGGGCTTATGCACAGTTGTGTTGTTTCTTTTCTGAAGAAAGGTTTGTATTGTGTCTGAACACAGCTCTCCCATAGTGAGTGGTCTTGGTGGTGTGGGTGGGAGTAGAGCTGCAGGTCAGCAATTTGCCTCTTGTTCTCCCAACTGTCTTTTATTCTCTGTTGTTACTATTATTCTTTTTGCTGATTAGGAAATGAAAATATCCTTGATTTTTTTAATAAAATAAAATATTGAATATTTATTTAGGACAAGAGTATATAGATCTTATTAACACAGTAGTTCCACAAATATTCTCAATGGGAAAGATGTCAGCTTTTTCAGATTACTTAAGGAGAAAGGTACGCCAGCATTTATCTACAGCTGAGTGAAATGAATTTTAACAAATACTTTATGTACATTGAGAGAAATGTCTGAAAATATTAAATATATTTTAATATTTTAAATACTCAGAAAAGTAAAAAAAAAGTTTTTTAAAATGACAAGTCTCAAAAATACTTGTTTACCTTTTAAATAATTTGACTTTGTAGTTCATGGTGAAGAAACACATAGTCAGGAAAGTTTCAGAACACTTAGTATTTTTGTTTTCAGTTAAGTTCTTCCAAATATTTTCTTTTAACTTCAAATATTCTTTATTCCACTTAACATTTTTCAAATTAAGCAGCATTTTATGCTTGTCCTTTTTAAACATTTTCAAGTTAGACTTTTCTCATTACCTAAGTTTTCAGTGTAGAAGTTAGTTTACAGACCTTTATATCTTAAAAATCGTGAGTAAAAACAAGGTGCATTTTGTGTAATGTGATATGAATGTAATAAAAATACATATATAGAAAGACATTAATTAGATTATTATATTTTTATCAAGTCAATGTTAATTTTGGAATAGTTGCCAAAAATGGCAACTATTGCCATTGTCCTGGGAGTCTGTGTTGTTATTGTTGTTATGTGCCATTGAGTTGCTTGCGACTCATAATGACCTTGAGTTGCTTGTGACTCATAATGACCTTATATACAACAGCTCTGAAGCCTGAGTCAGTCTCACTGACCCTGGCACACCTACCCCATTACCCTAGTTGCTGTATCAATCCATCTAATCTGGGTCTTCCTTTCCTGCACTGTCCCTCCACCCTTCCAAGCATGAGGTCCTTCTCCAAGGATAGGTCTCTCCTGGCCACATGCCCAAAGTATATGAGATGGAGCTTTAAAATCCTAGCCTTTAAGGGGAAACTTGATTTCACCCTCTCCAAGAAAGACCTATTTGTTTGCTTGGCTGTCCATAGTATGTTCGACACTCCTCGAGTACTACAACTCAAAGGCATCTATTCTTTTTCTGTCATCCTTAGTCATTGTCCAGCTCTCAGATGCATATGGTTACAAATATGTACACACACACACACACACACACACACACACATTCACACACACAAGTATCTATATATGCATAGAATTGTCTGGAGAAATCACAATTACAAGAAAAATATCTAATAAAAGTAATAAATACTAAGTGAGTGAAACACATTAAGATAAACCATGGAAGTCTTTTGAGAAGGGACAGGCATGTATAGGGAAAGGACAGATTTAAGACTTTAACACAGGGTTAAATTCTTCTGAGCCCTGAGGGCTGCAATTGTGAAAAACTGAGAGGGGAAGAAGGAAAGGTCTTCCAGATTTCTAGAATTGTGAATTAAGACTTCTAAAAGTCCAGGTTCACAGAAGCATTTCAGTGAAAACTTAATCATGGTGAATGGGCAGATGGGGTAAGTCTACATGGGGAACTTTATAAGCCTTTCATTTTGAGCTATATTCTGAAATTTGTAATGAAATATTGGATATTTAAGCAAAGAAGTGGCTGAAAGCAGCCCCTCATTGCCAAAAGGAGTTACTGGACAGGGGAGAGGCTAAAGGCCATCATCACAGAGGCCTGTGATCCCAGAAGACTAAGTACTAGACAAATCTGAGATCTGTCAACAGTAACAGTACCGAACTATGTGCACTGTTAATTTTATGAATCATAATGTGAATGAATAAAACATCCTTGTTAAAAAAAATTCAATACAGACATGTAGAAGTTAAAGAATAAAATACCATCATATTTGTTCCTTTCACTGATGTTTTTGTTGTTATATGCTGTCTAGTCGACTGTGGCTCTTTGTGACCCTATGAACAAGAGTTCTGAACCTACTGTTAATTTTGGGGTCACTGTATATTCTTCATGGTTTTTTCTTTTTTTATATACTCGTATGTGCTCAAATGAACACTAATTATATTTTATGAGGTAGATCAAGCTATGTGTGACTATGTGTATTTATATATGGATATATGTCTACATGTACATAAGCATGTTATTAGAAGGGGCCAGTCCTTGGAAAAAGACATCATATTGGGAAAATGGGATTTGGTGAAAGACTGAAAGCCCTTTAACAAGATGGATTGACACAATGACTGTAACAGTGGGCTCCAGTATATCAGAGATGGTGAGGTTGATACAGCATAGGGCAGGGTTCAGATCCATTATTCATAGGGGCGATATGCTTCATGGTTGACTTGATACCTCACAACAATACACACACACACACACACACACACACACACACACACGCACACAAAAATTTGCAGGTCTCTTTTTCTACTTAACAGGACATTGTGAAGATTTTTCCAGCATAGGACATGTAGCTCTCCCCTGTCTTGTTTTGCATGTACCTGCTCGCTCTTTATATTAGAAAGTGTTGCATAAAAATAGCACTGTTGAGAGCCTGGGCTTGTAAAGGTGGTATTGAGTGAAGGTGTATTCAGATATGGTTGGTGAGCAGATTGGCTGATTTTCCTTAGAGTTTCTGGTCTCAGAATTTGTCATCGAAGAAAAGAGATGGGTTTTCTTTCTTCATGATCTCCTGAAAGTTATGGGGAAGAAAAATCTCAGTGGACTATGTCCAAAATCCCTGAAAAGGTAAATTTTAGCCTTCTTATCAACATGAAAACCTTGACAAGAAATGAATTCAGAAGTGGGAATGTATGATAGCTGGGAACGACAATCAATCTGACAATATTCTTTTCTTTTTCTTTTGTGAAGCAGTTATGGAAGGCGGCATAGTTTAAGCACAGCATTTGGCATTGTTGATGCTGCATTTTGGGGGCTGTCCACTGCTCTTTTCCTCATTACTCCTGAATAGACATGTCTGTTTAATTTTTCAGTTAATTCTTTGAGCACTTAGTGAGCACTAACTTTATTTCCTCCTCTCAGCACCTCTCGTCTTCCCCTTACAGAGGAGCAGAAAGACTTATCTCAGTCACTTAATCAAGGTCACTTAGGAGACTGACACAGAGAGTTGTGGGAATAAGACTAAGATGTTCATTTTTTAAAGACAGTCTTTGTTGTTTTCTGAAAGTGTCTTCCAGGTGGCTTTCCTAGCTAGGAGCTATGTCACTATTTTTTAAAACATAGTAACCTTATTAGTTAATGAGACATTGCAATTAATTACATTTTAAGTAGGAGAATTGATGCCTTTGAGTTGTGGTGCTGGAGAAGAGTATTGAATGTACCATGGACTGCTAAAAAACAAACAGGTTCATTCTGGAGAGGGTAAATCGGGCTGCTCCTTGGAGGCAAGGATTCTGAGGCTTCGTCTGACATAGTTTGGACATGTTGCAAAGAGGGACCAGTCCTTGGAGAGGGACCATGCTTGGGAGGGTGAAGGGACAGCAGGAGGGGAAGACCCTCTAAGAGGTGGATTGATTCAGTGACTGGGATAATCGGGATGGGTGTGTCAGAGGCAATGAGATTGGCACAGGACAGAGCAGTGTTTAGGGCTGTTGTACATAGGGTAGCTATGAGTCGCAAGCGACTCGACGGCACATAACAACAACAAGAAGTAGTAATTAATATTATAAAATGATGTGTGTGAATGATTGAATGAAATCAGTATGATTTGTAAACTTTCACTCAAATCAGAAAAAGCTTTATTAACTTTTTAAAAATAAATCATGGACCATACACTTCACCCATTTAATATATGTAATTCAGTCATTTTTCATGTGTTTATAGAGTTGATTCATCATCACCACCATTTTAGAATATTTTCATCCCCTCAAAGGAAGTCCCATCCCCAATAAATGTCATTCTCCATTTCCCCTCTGCTTCTGCCTTCTTGTCTCTGAGGTTTTGCTGATTCTGGACTTTTCATGTAAATAGAATTTGCAGTATGTGGCCATTTATGACTGATTTCTTTCACTTAGACCCCTGTTTTCAAAGATCATGCGGGTTGTACCACATATTAGCATTTCATTACTTTTTATTGACTGATACTATTCTGTTATATGGACCTACTTCAGGTTTTTATCCCCTTCACCACAGTTTTTAACCCTTCAGTTTACCAGGAGTAAATGACTGGTTTTTATACTTGAGGTTCGTATAGAGTGGAGTTTTATACTCAAGTGTAAAAAAACTTATATACACTTGAAAAAAAAATCAAGTATGTATTTTGAAAGCTGGGGAAATAATAATAAACTAAAAGTACATTTGGAAAAAAGATCTATATCTTTAGAATAAGAAAGGTCAGAGTAAACAGAGGTTAAAACCTTAGTCTTCTTTTGAAGCAGTGGAGGGATAGAGACCCTTGAACATAAAGTAAACAAATAAAATTGCATTCATTTATCTTCTTTTTAGCAGTCCACCTGACACTTTGACCTTTATTCCACATGCAGAATACTGGTGTGATCATTTCCTGAGCCCTTTGAGGCTCTTTTGTTATAAATGGGATTGGCTCTTGATTTTCTTTTTTGTTTATTCTCCACTGCTGTCCTAAAGATTGATGGTTCAACCCATCCAGCAGCACCTGGTGGTCTTACTTTTGAAAAGATTGTTGTTAGGTGCCATTAAATCTATTTTGACTCCTAGCAACCCAATATGATTATGGGGTAGGACTTTCCCATAGTATTTTCTTGGCTGTAACTTTTAAGGAAATAGATTGCCATGACTATCTTGTAGAGATGCTATGTGGGCTTGAACCACTAGCTCTTAACTATGTGTTACCAGGCCTAGACCAATGTACAGAGCTCTACTACTATATAACACATAGGGTTGGGTGCATTGTACGAACTTCAGTTGCAGTGGAAGGTTTGTGGTTTTGGGGTTTTTTTTGCCCTTAGGGTTAGTTTTCTGATCTTCTAAACTGTCTTGTAATTAATTTTTATTCTGGTGCCAGGCATTTCATTTTTCTCAGCTCTTAGGGATTTTTGCATGTCCCTCCCCCCAAAGAAGGAAAAATCTTAACTCATTTTTAATGTGGTTTTAGTAACAAGCAAAATGAGATGTGTGTTTGGATATTTGGTCTTTTCTGTGAACTCAGTGTTTCTTTATTTCCTTATTATATTGTAGTTTGTTTATTGTTTCAGTATGAATTTCCCCTCTGCTTATAAATGGATATAATGAGTCCGTATACTTACCATATTTTCTTTTGATTTGCTAAGAGCCAAAGAAATGTCCGAGGACCAGACTTGTTTTAAAGTCTCTGGAAAAATTAAAAAAATTCTGCTGTGAATCAGCTCTTCCTCAGAACATAGTCCCAACAGACCTTCAGGAGAGATTTGCAGTTTTACCAAAATGTACTGATTTTGATGATATCGATCTTCTCCGTGCAAAGAATGCAGCTTCTTCTGAAGATTCTAAAACACAAATTCAACAAAAGGTATGCAACAGTTATATAGATACTCTCTGAAAATAGATCAGTGGTGGTTAATTTTATAAAACGCATTGTAAAAGAATAATTGTATGTGACAGTGTGAATGAGAGAATGAGTGAAACACAATGTACATGAATAAAATACAATATATACAAATTTTGTATGTAAACCAATATAAAGATTTAAAAAAGGTTAAATCTTGAAATCATTACTTAATATGTATTGGGAAGGGTGCAGTGGTAGCTTAGTGGTAAGGAGTTGCACTGCCAACCCAAAGGCTTACAGTTTGAATCTACCAGTTGCTTCATGGGAGAGAGATAGGCAGTTTCTTCCTGTGCAGTTTACTGCTTCTGAAAACCCTCATCAGCAACGAGTCAGTTCTGACAGTACTAACGTGTTAGGGATGTAAGGATGTTGTTGTGTACTGTTGAGCAGGAACCGACCCACAGCTGACCCTTTGGTGTGTTTTCAAGAGGCAGTTTACGTAATTGCTTGGGAGGGGGTTACCTTTCCTTTACCCATGGAACAGCTGGTGCCCTCGAACCATGCAGCTTCTTGCCACTAGGCCACCAGTGGATGAGTGGATTGTAATTTGTGTTATTAAACCAAAACTAAGAATAAAGCACAAATCTCCTAGCTTGTATTGTTGTTGTGAACCATCAAGTTGGAACTAACCCATAGTTGACCCTCCAGTAGGTTTTTAAAGGCACTGATTGCATGTGAGGAGATTGCCCATCTTTCTCCTATGGAGCAGCTGGTGGATTCAAACCATGTTCCTTTGTTTTGGCAGCACAATTTCTTACCACTCAGCCACCAGACCTCCCTTAGGAGCCATTAATTTAGGAAAATTGGATAGGCAAGTTTGGTAATTAATAAAGGAAAGTTTTCTACATTTTAAATTTAGTTTTCTTTTGGGGGGAACAAGACAAAGCACATGTACAATTCAGTGACATCAGTTATAGTCTTCTTGTTGCGTTACCATAATCACTCTACTATGTTGTTTTACCATGATTAAGAATCCTAAGCTTTTCATTAATGATTTAGAGTTACTGTGGCTATTTGAACTCGTTTCTATAATTCTTTAAAGGAGCTCAACAGTCAATGCAAACAGTACAAATTTTAGTTTAAAGATGAAATCAGGCCAAAATCAATGCAGTGGATGTGATGTTTCCTTCAATCCTAGGTGGTCCAGGAGGTCTGATTTCTGTAAGAATTTCTAACATTTTTTTTCTCCTTTTGATCATAATCTATTTTAAATTATAGTTTGGCAATACTGCCAAAGGCAAATATACATGTTCAATGCAATCCCAAAACAAATACCAATTCCATTCTTCAGTGAGATGGAAAAGGCAATCTCCAGCTTCATTTGGAATGGAAAGAAGCCACGAATATGCAAAGCACTTCTTAAAAATAGAAATGCTCCCCGATTTCAAATCCTACTACACTGCTGTGGTAGTCAAGACAGCATGGTACTGGTACAATGACAGACACGTAGATCAATGGAATAGAATTGAGAACCCGGAAATCAGCCCATCTATTTATGGTCAGCTGATTTTTGACAAGGAGATGGAATCATTTAGGTGGGGAAATGACAGCCTTTTTAACAAATGGTGGCAAAATTGGAAAACTATCTGCAGAAGAATTAAACAAGATCCCCACCTCCATATACAAAAACCAACTCAAGGTGGATCATGGACCTAGGACTAAAACCAAGGACTATAAACTTCATTCAAGAAAAGCTTGGAAGAACTTTAGCAGTCCTAATCCACAACATAAAGAGTCTTCCAAGTATTCTGAAAAATTTACAACCAGGAGAAGATAAAATAGATGAATGGGACCTTCTAAGAATCAAATCCCTATGCACATCCAGAAACTTCTCTAACAGGGTAAAAAGGGAAGCCACAGACTGGAAAAAAGTGTTTGGTAATGACATGTCAGATAAGGGACTTGTATCTAGAATTTATAAAATACTTGAGCACCACAACAAGATAAAGGTAAACAATCGAATTGAAAAATGGGCATAGGATATGAACAGACACCTCACCAAGGAAGACATTCAGATGGCCAACAAGCACATGAAGAAATGTTCAAAATCCCTAGCTCTGAGAGAGATGCAAATCAAGACAACCATGAGATATCATCTCACCCCAGTAAGACTAGCAAAATTTAACAGAACAGCAAGTAACAAATGCTGGCAAGGTTGTGGAGAGACTGGAACCCTTATTCACTGATGGTGGGAGTGTAAAATGGTGCAACCACTGTGGAAGGTAGTATGGCACTTTTTCAAAAAGTTGCAAATAGAGATACCATTTGACCCAGCAATTCCACTACTGGGAATATACCCCAAAGAGACCATAACTGACATACAAGCAGATATATGCACACCCATGTTTATTGCGGCTTTGTTTACAATAGCAAGCAGTTGGAAACAACCTAAATGCCCATCAACAAACGATTGGGTAGAGAAGCTGTGGTATATTCGCACAATGGAATATTATGCTGCATTGAAAAACAAGGAACTCATGCAATATTATTCAAAATGGGTGACCTTGGAGGACATTATGCTGAGTGAAGTATCTCAGTCACAAAGGGACAAATGTTATATGGTGCCACTGTTGTAGAATGAGGCTGACATCGGGGTGGGGGTAAGACTGAGAAAAACTGGATGAAATATGTTTATGGCATTAAAGTCTATGGGGGAGAGAATAGTTTAAAAGTATTGTATTTTAGGGCATTATGTTTATCGTAAGTACGGAATGAGGGTTGCAGAGTGGATTATATTTGGGGTTGGGGGTGTGGTTGGGGGGTGTGCAGGGGGGAGTGTGTACCAATGAGGGAGTGTTTCTTTTGCTTTTCAAGGAGAGGAGCAAACAGGGAGGTGGGGGGGAGGGGGAGTGGGCGGGGAGAAGGGTGCAACAATGAATGAATGGAATTCCAAAATCTCTGTAGATGTTCATTGAAAAGATAAATAAATAAGTAAGTAAGTAAGTCATGGCAAATGAGAAATAACCAATAAGAAGGAATGTCTCGAGTAGGTCATGGACGTTTTTGCCATTATTACGATGGTTGACTGCTAGCATGGAAAGAGATAGATGAATGGAAAAGACTGTCAGAATGGAAAAGAACGTGCAGGGGCCAGAGGCATAGGATCATTAAAATGGGGTCATTAGCCCTCTAAGTCTTTTATTTATTTATTTATTTTATTTTTTTTTAATTTTTTTTTTCTTTTTTTTTTTTGCCCTCTAAGTCTTGATAGGTCTTGAACTGGACATTTTATTGTTGTGATCACTCTGAATTGCCAGGAAAAAGTTAAAGTGAGATTAACATGATGTTTCTAGGAATGTGAAAAAGAATATAAAATGCCTGGGAATTATTTTCACCCAAATTTGTTTTTCAAAACAAATTTGCTTACTATTTAAGTAATTGGATTGACTAACTTCTTAGCGTCTCATATGGATAAAACAGCTTTTTGGATGGCTTATCCAGCCTACATATGAAAAAGATGTTAAATGTAATTTTTTTTCTAGAAAATATCTTTTTGGAAGTATTCTTTAAGTTTTACAATATGTAGTATTCCTAAATTTTGTGTACAATTTTATATAATTTATCAAAATTAAATGCAAATGGGTCCTCAGAGCTTATGCCCTGTGACCCACTTTTCTCTGCCACTCTCTTTATTTCTTGTATATTATTAATGATTTTTTAAATAAAACATA